CGGCGGGCGCAAAGAGTCCATAGTGCTCACGGGGGATCTGGAGCCCGTCAGGTCCAAACTGCCCTCCAATTTGTGAGGACTCCTGCAGGAGCTGCCTGTGCCAGCTCTGCCCTTCAGTTCCTGATGAGTTCACCGAGCGATTTTTTCCTTTCCTTCCCCTTCTGCGCCACTCCTGCTTTGTTTTCTTTTGTTTCCCCTCCATTTCTTTTGATTAGGTTTAACTGTGCTTAGAAACAAAGGAAAAAAAAAACACATGAAAAACAACGGGAAAAAAAAAAAGAAGATAACCAGGTATTCTTAGAGCTATAGATTTTTGGTCACTTGATTTTATAGAATATTTTAATACACAGGAAAAAAAGGATATGAGCAAATTTAATCCAACGAGGTAACGCACAGCCGGGGCGTGTGCCTGAGCTGGAACACGTGAATGAGCAGCCATAGAAGCCACCAAAAAGGTTTTCCTGTTGAGACAAAGACCCGAGGTTGATGTGGGCCACAGAAGGGGCTGTGGGGTCAGGCCTGGAGCTGGTGTTTGTAGAGCAGCCCTGGCTGCCCTCAGCTTTGCCCCAGCTGTGACCCTGGGGCTGGTGGGTGGCCCAGCACACACCACAGGTGTCCCTCCCTGTCCTCAGCAGGTCACAGAGGAGCTGGGAAGGGGTGAGTTCACTCTTGTAGACCCCTCGAGGGATTTCCCAGGGGCTGAGGTTTGGGTTGGACTCCAGCTGAGGAAGATGAAGGTGACCAGGAGATGGACAGGCCTCGCTGCAGATTGTCCCTTTCTTACTCCACTGATGCTGCAGTGGGAACAAGGAGCAATCCCCTGTAAGGCACAGGGAGGGCAGGGATGACCCCTCTGTGCTTTGGCATGTGGGCACCCCAGGCAGAAGGCCTCAGGCTTCAGCCTCTCCGTGGTGTGTGCAAACAGGAGGGATGGAGGAAGAGGCAGTGTTTAACGTCCTCTCTGTCACTTCAGTGTCTCAGTGTCCCTGGGTGACTGCTCTGAGGAGAACTAGAAAGGGCTGAGCAGTGGGGTGCAGTTCCCAGCCCTCCTCCTCCTCCTCCTTAGCCCAGGGCAGTGGGAGGCACCAGGACAGTTCCAAGATTCACAATTCTGTTTTTACCATTAAAACCAGATCAGCCCAGAAATTTGGCCAGCCATGGTCTGTGCTTGTCCCCTGCTGGGGGAACCGAAATCCTTTGTTTGATTTCACCAGCAATAAGAGCCTGCACCTGGTGGGCTTCCCCTGACACCCTGCAGCGTCCCCTGGGGCACTGGGGCTGGGCTTTGGGGACACTCCCAGTGGGGCGGGGACAGAGCGGGGCCAGCAGCACTGAGAAGCCACAGCCTTTACCTCCAGGGCACACATCTCCTCTGGTGTCACTTGGTCCTCCCTCTCTCTCTGTTTGGGGTTTCCTTAGGCCGAGGGGTGTCTGTGGCCACCTCACTGTCCGAGTCAGGTGCTCAACTTTTCTAACACTCCTTAGAGACACATCCAGCCTCCCTCTGTGCCCAGCCCTCAAGGGGACAGAGACTCCATGCAGCAGTGCCAAAAACTTCCCCCTGCCATTTCCCAGCCCCTGGAGCTCCCTGTCCGTGCCCCAGCCCTGGCTGATGGTTGTTTTTATACCGACCCGTCTGCAGAACTCTCTGCCACGTGCCTGCACCTTGAATGTTGCATTCCTGGGCACTCCTGCTTCACCCTGCTTTGGTGGCTCTGAATTCAGATGTGATCAGCTTTGGTCTTCCTTAAAAAGGGTCAGGGGAACTCTGGAAATGCTTTTTCTACTGGCTCCATCCAGCTCTGTCTGTGTGAGTGTGGTGGGAGGGTGAGAGTGTGTGTGTGTGTGTGTGTGTGTGTTTGTATAGATTTTATAGATGTACCTATATCTACACACCTGCTTTTCTATCTGTAGGGTAGTCACACACATCTGTAGTCTATTTATGCACATGTGTCAGCACACACACACACACATATTTATATATATATATGTATATCCTAGTTTTAAATGAAAATACGTGTCAGTTCTGACCCTCCTGCAGGGCTGATTGGCAGGTGACAATTATAACCTCTAGATCCTGCTTTTCCAAATATGTACAGGTTCATCTTGAAACAGGAGTTGAAGCAGACTCACAGACCCTCTCATGTTTTCAGAGGTAGAAGGAAGACTCACAATATCCTTTGCAGTTTTTTGGGTTTTTAGCAAACCTTTCCCCTGTGTGCCAGAGGCCGAGCACCTGGAGGGTTTGGGGTGGGCTGGGCAGGCAGGGGGGAAGGGTCTGCAGCCCTCCTGGGCTCCTGTCCCGTGGCTGCTGCACTGGCCCTGAGTCCTGGGCACCCTGGGGACCCTCAGGGGACAGCCAGGGCTGGCACTGCCCGGCCATGCCCCCTCCTCACTGCAGGACATCCTCCTTGGCTTTGCTTCCCTCTTTGGGGGATCTCTTTGGGTTTCCAGCTCTCAGCACTGCAGTAGCCAACTTTGAGTTATTCTGACTGGACCCCAGTCAACTAGGCTTGTCTCAGTAGGTGGAACTATATTTATTACTATTATTATTATTATTATTATTATTATTATTATTATTATTATTATTATTATTATTATTATTTGGTTTCTTTTGGGGGGAAGGGAGGGGAAGAGTTCTAGGGGTGGGGTTTGCAATATAAAACACACAATAAAAACCTTAGTAAATAAAAATGTGAAAAACCCACCCCTCTGACTTGCTGTGTGCTTCACGTGGTGAGCTCCAGGCAACACCAGATGAGCTTTAAAGGAGGAAAATCCCATTTTAGCCCTTTGCTTTGCCCTGTCTCTGTTTTCCTGCTGCCTCTGGAGCTTTGGCAGGATGTTCACCACCTCACACATTCTCTATATTCAGCCACTGACAGGAAAAGTTTAAAACTTCCACCTACAGCTGAATTTTCAGCAGGGCAAGGGAGAGATCTGGCAGTTGTTTTGCAGATGTGTGCACAAAAATCCTTCACTTTGCAGCAGACATGGAAGCTGTGGCTGCCTGTGGGATCCCTGGAGGAGGAGCCCTGCACAGACACAGCCCTGGCAGCAGGACAGGAACCACAGGGAGGATGCCAAGGAGCTGAGGAGTTGTAGGAAGGTAAAAGTGGCCTGAGCTCTGAGCTTCCATTGCTCCTGCCAGGCCCTCTCAGGTCTGTGGGTGACTCCTGGTGGGTCACCCTGTCCTGGGGTTCCCATGAGGGAATTGAGGCACTGAAATGTTGGGGTTACCTTTTGGAATGGGTTTTAGGCCAGGCTGGTTTCCATGCCATTCCTGTACAGAGGGAACAGGTTGTTAGCCCTGCCCAAGCCAACATTTCTTTTAAAATTAAGATTTTCTGGAAGATTTGTAAATTTGCAAGGTTGGACTGGAACAGAATCCAAGTTTTGAGCTCTCAAAGCACACCTGGGAGGCCTGGCTGGTTCAGCACATGGTGCTGCCTCACTGCAAGGACTTCAGAGTGCACTGGGATGATCCAGCTGTGGGGAAAACATCCCAAAGGCAGCAGCAGCAGCTCTGCTGGTCTCTCCCTTTGCCCAGCCCCAGTTTGGGCAGGAATTCAGAGAATTTCAGCCTGGCCTGGCTGCCCAGCCAGCAGTGTCTGGCTTTGGGAGGGGCAGCAGCTCCCACACTCATGGCTCTTGCACCCTGCAGGAGATTTTGGGGTGTGGGAGCCCACAGGACCCAGCAATTCCCAGCAGTGCTTTCTGGGATTGACTGGTCCCTGCACCCTTGGCAGAAGGAAAGTGGTGCCAGGGCCTCAGGGAGAGGCAGGCTGGGGCTCAGCTCTCCCTTGGGAAGAGGATTTCCCTCCTCTCTGCAGCCCTGTGCCTGGCAGGACCCTCAGGCTGGTCCCCCCCAGTCACAGCCACCATCAGGGACACCCTGCCACACCTCTGGGTGTCCCCAGGGAGCCCCAGGCCGGGGCTGGGGTTGGCCATGCCCTGACTGAGTCCTGTTTCATCTCCTCTGCAGTTCCAGGCATCTCCCAGCACAGGACCAGCAAGCCCAGGTACCCTGCAAGGTGCAGAAGGAAAAGGGAGTTGCATCTTTTTCCTCCCTGCTAGGAGAGCCATGAGTAAGTTGGGAATGATCCCTTTAAAGCCATCACTACAGCAGAGTGTGTATTTTACCCAAAATAAGGAACAGCAGAGAGCTTTCACCCTCAGGCTCAGGGCTGAGCTCATCCCTGTTCCCCCTGGCTCTGCTGTGACAGCGACAGGAGCCATGGGCCACACTGATCCCTGCTCTTCTGTGGGACAGGATCCCTTTGGGAAGGGGAGATGGGCACAGAGCAATGCCCTCAGCCATGGCCAAAGCACAGACAGCAAAGAGCAAATGGGGCAGCTCCTCCAGGGCTCCACAGCCTGGGCAGAGGGGACATCACCCCTGGGAGGTGGCAGAGGACACTTCCAGCTCCTTGGGAATGCCAGAGCTGGAGTGGGGCACCCACTGGGGCTGCTCTGCTGGCACTGAGGGCCCCAGAGCAGTGTGGGACAGGAGAGGCACTGAGGGCACAGGGACAGAGAGGGGAACAGCCCTGGGGTCAGGGTGGGACCCTCCTGAGCTGAGGAAGGGACAGCAGGGGTGGCTGCTCAGCAGCCTGGCAGGGAGTGCTGGGGTCACACCTGGAATAAAGGCTGGCAGGAGCTCTGCCTCCCACAGGGGAGGGAGCTGGACACAGAGCTGGCACCTGGTGACCAGGACCCTCCCTTGGCAGTGATTGCCCAGCACTGCAGCCCAGAGGGGTCAGACATGGGCACCACGGGGAGGGCAGGGCAGAGGGCAGCCCGTGCAGGGTGCCAGGATGCCAGGAGCCCTGTGCCAGCCCCAGGGGGATGGAGCTGCAGGGATGAGCCCAGAACTGGCACACACCAGCACACCAGCAGTGCTCTTTGCTGGATGCCAGACCCTCCCCGTGCCCTCTGCCCCCTGCAGGCCGTGCCCAGCCCCCAGCCCTGTGTGAGGGATGGAGGGATCCTTCCCTCTGCAGAGGGGGAGAAGCAGGGCAGGGCATTGGGGTTGGAGGTGATCCTGCAGCAGCTTTTCATCATCCTGCACTTCCCTGCTCATGGAGAAATGCTCCCACTGTGGCCCCAGGTTTGGTGTGTGCCTCTGCTCTGGTTTCTCAGCCCAAATCTGCACTCAGAAACCTGCAGGAATGAAGTGAGGCTGCTCAGGCACGTTGTGAGCAGCACTATCAGCTCCTTGGCTGGACACTGATTTCCCAGGGGAGAAGCTGGGGCAGCCCAAGGTCCCCAGGTCAGAGCTGAGCTCCCCCTGCTTTCCAGCACAGACCTTCCCCAGGTGTGCTCCCCGTGCAGTGATGGCTGCAAGGACACTCTGCCCTCCCTGCAGCCCCCCAGCGACTCCAGGGGTGCAGTGCCCGCTGTCCCCAGCCCTGTGTGCACCCAGGGGTGCCTGGGCACTGCTCCTGGAGGGACAGGGGCTGCTGCCTGCTCTCTCCCCTGAATGAGGAGAGGCTCGATTTTAGCTGGGTTTGTGCACATTGGTTCTGCCACTTCACTTTCAGAGCCCCCAGCCATTCTCCCTCGCCAATTCCAGCGCCTTTTGCCAAAGCCCCGCTCTGGCTTTAGGCTCGATTTTAACGGAGCTGAAGGCGGTGCCATTAATGCAGATTAAGGGAACAAAGCTGTAACTTGGTTCTGCCATCTGCAGAGGCAGCAGAGGCGATTGCTGCCCCTGGCAGCAGCTCCCAACCACTCCTGATGGGACAGAGCTCGCCTGAAGCCCCTCAGGAGATGGGGATGCGCTCATGGGGAGCCCCAGCAGCGTCCCTGGAGCTGCAGCCCGGCAATGCCAGGCCCTGTGCGGGCACTGCCCGGCTGGCACGGGCTGTGCCCAGGGTGGCACCGGCAGAGCCCGGAG